CTGCTCTCCCTCCCTACCTCTCTCCCTCTCCTCCCTTCCTCCCCTCTCCACCCCTCTCCCTCCCCTCCCCCTCCCTGTTTACGTCCATGTTACCCAAGAACCCTCGGCTCTGAGTAATAAGCTTGTCTCTCAGTGAGAACATGTGTTTTCAATCATCTGGCACAGCAGTGAGTCACTACCAACAGCTGCTGCTGTCTCCATCTCCCTGGACTCACCTTCGGCCCCCTCCCCTACCCCTGTGCCACCAGCCCAGGCCCTGCCCCCACGCAGCTCTGGTTCAGCCAGCCTGACCCCCTGGATGCCTGGGTGTCCTCCGGCCTTTGGGCCTCCCAGAGCCGCTCGCTCCCTGGTCTGAAGCAGAGCCTGCCTCCTCCTTCCCCGTGGATCACCTGACTCAACTTCTGGGTCCCACTAGAGACATCCCAGACAGCCCCCCAGACCACACCAACCTTGCTGGCACCCACCCATTGCCCTGGGTCACACTGGCCACGGCACCCAGCACACTATGGGCTCTGTCTCTTTCATATTGATGGTTTTCACTGCAGGAAAAAGGGGGCCACCTCCCATCCATTTCCCCAGCTCCTGCACAGCCCATGGCTGGTGCCCAGAAATACCTGTTGAATGAATTTGACATGAGGCCGTAGCCTTAAGAGGTTATAGTCAGTGGGGGGACGTGAGAACAAGAAATCTCTGAGATACAATACAGGGAGTCCAGAGGGACTCAGGGTGACGAGCCACAGAAAGCCCGTGTCTATCTCTGCCCCTGGCTAGGGTGACTGTATCTCTGCGCCAGGCCCCTCCCCAAGGCTGCAGCACTTCGCCCTACTCTGGGCTGGCTGTTGCCTAGTGAGCAGGGGTTCAAGGCCAGGCCTGTCTCAATGAGGAGGGATGGCTGAATGCGGGGCGGGCAGTGTCTGATGGGGCCAGGAGTGACTGCAGGCTCTCAGCGACGAGGCCACATCCAGGGCATTCTGCTGCCTCCTCCAGCGGGTCAGAACCACAATCCCCCAGGACAGGGAGGGCTGACAGGGACCCAAGCACACTCTATCCCTGCAGGGAGCCCAGCCTCGTGCAGCTGCGGGGGTTCACCACCTGCCCAGACCTCAGAGCCTTCCTCACAGGCATCCACGGCAGGACGGCTCTGTGGCTGGGTGGCGCCTTCAAGGGGACGTGAGCAGGGGACAGTGAACGCAGGGGACACTGAAGGGTCCAGCTGTCGCCTTGTTCCTGGGCCGGAGAGCACCAGGACAGAGCCAGGTTGGCCAGGTCACACAGGAGGAAAGGCAGAGTGTGCAGGGTGGCAGGGCTGTCGCAGGTGTCCACGGAGCCCGGGGGCCTACTCGGGGATGAGGGAAGGGTGGCCGTGCCAAAAAATGAATTAACGAGTCAGCCTCAAATCTCAAGGAAACAGCTGGGAATGGCGGGAAGGACCTGAACCACTTTCCAAGAAGCTCGGCTCCTTCTCACCTTTCCCGTCGCCGCTGCCTCTGGTCTGGGTGTGGTGACCACAGCCACCCAAGCCTGCTCTCCTGCTGTCTGGCACTTCAGCTCAAGATTGAATGAGAGCCTTCAGGAACTCTGCCCCTCACCCCAACCCATCCTCCCCAGGGGGAAGTCCAGGAACGCAGACCTGTCCCACGCTTCCCGAAGCTGGTTCCAAGGACGCGAGGCTGGGTTTGAGACTGGAGGTGACGAGAGTCTGGCTCGGGCCTTACGCTGCTGCTGGCTGCAGGCTCCCTGTCACGGAGAACCTGAAGCATCCTCAGAGAACAGAGGAAGGACCAGAGGGGAGCGAAGGGAGGAAGGGCAGGCAGGACCGGAACAGAGGGAGAAAACCAGGCCTGGGGAGAGGGAAGGAGAGAGGGGACTTTCTTGGGCACAGACCTAATCATAGCCTTGAAATGAAATTTACTGCTGCACTCAGCGTGGGACGGCTGCCAGCTCCACCAAGCCAGTCTCCCTTCTGTTTGTACGAGGTGATGACATCATGGCGGTGGGGCGTCACTCACACGGAGGAGGAGGAAGCCCAGCTGGCGGGAAACCTGAGCCACCCCTGGCCAGGCTTCCAGGCAAGTCGGACCCAAAACCATGCCAGTCAGCCTCCACAAATCCCTGCTGAGCCGGGCAGCCGGCTCCTGCACTGTCCACCCCTCCCTGGTGGCCAGCCCCAGTCCCCAGAACGCCAGCTGAGGCTGCTTCCTGGGGAGAGCCAGCAGTGGAGAAGCCCTGGAGACCGCTCTGCTCACTGGCCCTGGTCCCCAACCCGCCCATGAAAGGAAGCACATGACCGCGTGCCCGGGGCCCAAAGGAAATAGCCCCGGCATGAGGAAACACGAGCGCCAGGCCTGGAGCATCCAATCCCGGCATCTCGTGGGGATTCCTTGTTGTCCTCATGGGACCCAGGCGACAGGAGTGTCCAGGAGAGCCGGCGTCGCAGGTGTGGGGACAGACAGGTGGGGAGAGACAGCAGAGCTCAGCGGCATCAACTCTCGGGTGTCCCAGCTGCAGAAGCCCTTTGAAGGAGGGCTCAGGGGCCTGCCCAAACTGCCCTTGTTGTTTAGGAGGCGCTTCTGAGTTAAAGAATAGGTAAAACCTGGCCACAGGAAGGAGAGGCACTGCCGCTCCAGCCCACGTGAAGCAAAGTCTGCAAAGGCTGCCTGGCTCTGGGGTTAACCACTGCTGTATCAGGGTGGCCTCCCTGGAAGAAGGGTTCATGTGCCTTCAGTCTGAGTCACCTGCTCCAAGTGGTTTAGCTGCAGCAGAACAGCTGAACAACCTTGGCTCTATAGGCTCTTTCTCTTTTTTTTTTTTTAAAGACGGATTTTCACCATGTTGGTCAGGCTGGTCTTGAACTCCCGACCTCAGGTGATCCACCCGCCTTGGCCTCCAAAGTGCTTGGATTACAAGCATGAGCCACCGTGCCCGGCCTATGGGCTCTCTCTATGGAGTCAATGATGTCATGGGCTTCTTGCTCACCACGAGGACAGCCTCTCTGCCTCTCCTCTTCTGGAGTCACGGGAGACGTGACCATGGCAACAGGGCTGGCTCTGGGGCTGCTGCCGGGGGCTGTGAAGGTTGTGCCCTGCACAAGGGGTGTGCAGAGGCTGGACTCCAAGCAGGTTTTCTAAAGGGAGGTGCCCTGCCTGGCTCATGGCTGCTTTTGCCCTGCGGGGCGCCCGTCTGCGGAGGGGAGGCAGGTTGGGGTGATAGGAGATGGAGGTGATGGAGACAGGCCGAAGTCCCACTTTCCCAAAGATGGCCTGTAGGATGGTATGAAATATACCAATGGACTCTGCAAAACAAAGCCCAAAGGGAGGGCCGGGTGCGGAGGCTCGCGCCTGTAAGCACTCTGGGAGGCTGAGGCAGGCGGATCACAAGGTCAGGAGTTCAAGACCAGCCTGGCCAAGATGGCAAAACCCTGTCTCTA